TGGAAGTAACTACAGCAACTCTCCCTCCACCCCTCACCTTATGATCGGGAGACGTCATCACCGCAAACATCAAAGATCCTTTATTATATGTACTAGCTCTGTCTATAAATCTTTCAATTTTTGTATAACCTATGGTATGTATGTACTTTACCTGAATAAACATTTATTATTTATTGTTATTATTATTTTATGTAATGTGTTGATTTTTTGCTTGTCTCTGATCTTGGGCTGGTCGGTAGAGCGACGGTCTCGCTTCATGCAAGTCGACGTTCAATCCGCGACCGTCCACAAGTGGTTTTGAGCACCATTCCTTCCCAACCCGTCCATTCCGTTCCTTTCCAAATCATTATCCTGATCCCTTCCAAGTGCTATATAGTCGTAATAACTTGGCGCTTTCATCTGAGAGTTCCTTCCCTTGCCTGTGAGTGACAGGATATTTACAGTAAGAACAAGACGCTATACATGTAAACATCAGATTGTTTTCCTTCAGCCATCGCAGTTATTTATAAGCCAGTTAAAGGCGTCTTGTGGTAGCTAAATCAGTTTTGCTTTATGTGTCTGTGATCAATCTTGTGATATGTTGAAGGAACAGCATGAAAGACTGTGACATCTAGGGTCCTGCTAGTACAGTCGGGTTCGTTCTCGACGCACAATAACAAAATTCCGGCTTCGAATCCCGGGCGGGACAGAAATGATTGGGCGCATTTCCTTTCACCTAATGCAGCTGTTCATCTAGCAGTAAGTAGGTACTCAAGGAGTTAGTCAGCTTGTTGTGGGGGGGTTGCATCCTGGGGGGGCGGGGTCAGTAATTCGACCTTGTTGGGGGGGTACCTCGATAAACGTCTAACGTGTATGAATACACTCTGGCTTCCTGTCCCGAGACACAATGAATTATACAATTATTATATGACGCCTCACACGTCCATACGACATTAGCTAACGTGTCTTTTTCAGTTAATGTTTGTACAACCTGGGAACCCACTTTACATGTGTTATAAGGTGTTCTGGTTATATCCTAAGCCAAGACGGGTCTCCATCCATTATTGTTGCTGTATTAAAACTTACCTAACTAAACCCAACCTTAAAAAGAACGAACTTAGTATATTACCCTACTATAACTTAACTCAGCATTCACTAACCCAACATAACATAGCTTAATCCAGCCTAACATACCATAACCTAACCTAAAATAACTTATCCATGTACAGCCTTATAGAGAAGAACCAAAAACCAAATATATTTACAGTTTTAATAATTAGAAAACTGGTTAAGTCTCAGATTTCTGTGGACGATTTGATAGTGGCTCAATGGTTACCTTTTGGAAGGCACTGTACATGTGGTTACCTTGTTTCTTCTACGTTCTTGTGAGCTTAATAATCATGGACTATAGTGAAAGGAAAACAGCAACAACAGCTCCTTAATAGAATCAGAGTAGACTACCGTAGTGTCGTGTACCGTGAGGACCTTTCCTAACTCGTGTCAAGTCAAAGAGAACTCTGATGTCGTCATTTGATCTGGTTGTTGGGGTTAGCAGGTGGAACTGTGACGTCTTGGATATAAATTATTTATTTATTAGTATATAATGTCAATGACCAGGTGTTTGTAATATATATACTTAGCTTCATATATGTAAATTTAGCTTATCATATATATTTAGCTTCTAATAACACTAAACAGGATTGATTTTTCTCCATCTCTGAATAGTGGCCTCGACAAGGACCGGATGACGCAATGGAGAGGAAATATGATACAGTCTACCCTTGCTATGCTGTCAGAAAACGTTTTCTTTGTTGAATATGTTCGGCAAGGTTAGGAATGACTTAGATGTTTAGACAATAGGTTTAGGGTTTAGGGGGATAGAAATAGCCTAAACTACTCTATCCCTTTGAGATGTATTTCTTTCTTGTCTCAATACACGTACTTGAACTTGACCTTTAGGGTTTATAACACCCGTCGAATATCTCAGAATTATTAAGGCATACGTTTCTCAGCCAATTCAATTATACAAAGTTTGTTTTAGTTTAGTTAATTTATTATGCACCCCATACCCATCCTTTTACGTGGTAGTGGAAATGGTTACAGAGGCACGTAATGGGCTCAGGGACTGAACCCCAAAATTCATTTAGCTAAGCAAGTTGCAGTCTTGATGAGCTAGTTACAAAATTCAATGCACATTGTCACATCAACAATGAGCTCTAGACCGACTGCAAGTAAAGCTTCCAAATTAAGCAACTGGCATGTGTGGAGAGCTAATGTCACAATTGATGTTTGCCCTGCACCCCCCATGGTTCTATGAATGGTATATACGCCGCTTTGGCTCTCAGGTATTGGATGGCACACCATTGGGTGTGGCCAGTAACTGGATGGGTAATCGTGCGTGGTTTTAATCTTTGGTTAAGGTATAATCCATCCTCAGGCCAGGCTCGTTAAAGCAGCGTCTCATTTGGGCATTTGAGGCTTTTGTTGGTGAAGACGGGCTGTTGGTTAACCTCGTTTGGTCACCAGATTCCTAGTTGGATTCGTTCTCGGCTCACAATCGGACATCTCGGGTTCGATTCCCTGGTGGGACAGAAAATGTCAAGCAAGTCTCCATTTATCTCTGTTCACCTATTAGTAAATAGGTACCCGGGTGTTATACGCAGACTTCCTGTCTCCGACAAAACGAGTTATTAAAATTAATCCGGATTACTCGTAATTCTTTTGGTTTACCCAGACAAATGTATCATTTTCTTTTAATTATGTATGTTCCATTTTCTGTTCAACCATCTTGGATAACTCATATAATATTCTATCACCTCGTGTCTGTAATAGAAGCCTGTTCGGTAAATTGAGTTCCCATTATTCCAGTGGCTGATCTTCCCTTGAAAACGATCCTATTTTCTTCTAGGTGAACAGCGATGTTAGGTGTAAGAAAACGTGCTCAGATATCTCGCCTTATCCAGCATTCGAACCTATATCCAATTAGTTGTGAGTAGACTAATAACCACTTCACTAATGCTTATTTTTTTTTTTTTTTTTTTGAGATATATACAATAGTTGTTACATTCTTGTACAGCCACTAGTACGCATAGCGTTTCGGGCAAGTTCTTAATCCTATGGTCCCTGGAATACGATCCCCTGCCGCGAAAAATCGTTTTTTCATCCAAGTACACATTTTACTGTTGCGTTAAACAGAGGCTACAGTTAAGGAATTGCGCCCAGTAAATCCTCCCCGGCCATCAGTGGTAAATAAATGACAAGGAGCTGGGGTATGACGGAGGGAACAAACGCTGCCCAACCACCTGGACCATCAGGGATCGAATGCCGACCTGCAAGTGAAGTCGCCGGTGAACCGACAAGTCAAAGTTTTAGTTAGGAGTAACTGCGAATTTTGAAGGAGAAAAAGTTTCCTGTCTCTTCAATATAATGGTTAGCCATTGTCAGCGACAGGAAGCCTGTCTGGGGTAGCAAGGTCCTCCTTACCCACTACAGACCATTCCCACAATTGCAACCACAACCGTTGTGGGTTGCATTGCAAATTCACAACATAAAGAAATAAATGGCGAATTAAAAAATGGCCACTCATGGATGTCAATTAACAAACTCACACTAAACATAGAAAAGACCTACTACATTTTATTTGGAAGCAAATCAACAAATGCAAATCAGCTTCAGATAGACAATGTCAACATCAACAATAAAAATGATGGGAAGTTCCTTGGCCTATACACAGACAAGAGACTCAACTTCAGCACCCACGTACAACACATAACCAAGACAGTCTCAAAAACTGTTGGTATACTTTCTAACATCAGATATTATGTTCCAAACTCTGCTCTCCTCTCATTTTATTACGCACTAATCAATCCCTATCTTACGGTGCGTTGGGTTCAACCATTGAAAACTACCTCAAGCTCATCATCACCCAGCAAAAATCTGCCATCAGAACAATAACAAACTCTGTTTTCAGAGAACACACAACCCCCCCCCCCCTGATTAAATCCCTAAACATGCTAGACATAAACTCACGCCACACATTCTCTTGTGCCATTTACAGGTACAAAACCTTGTTCCTAAATGCAAATCCTAATCTGAAACTCATCCTTGATAGATGTAATAGAACCCATAATCACCACACCAGAAATAAATTTCTCTTTGATATCCCCAGAGTCAAACTAAATGTTTGTAAACACTCTATGCAAATAAAGGGACCTGGTCTATGGAGCTCACTCCCTAACGAATTGAAAAGCTGTCCAACCTACGCCTTACTCATAAGTAAAACCAAAAAGTACCTAATTTCATCCTCATAGTTTCCTACCTAGTGCCTTAAACTCGCACTGTATCTTGTGCTACCCACTCCTCCCCAACATATGTACCTAAGCCATATAAGTTCACCATTGTAATCACTGCTATCATCTTATATCATGGATGCTATATTGAACGCAATTTACTACAATATACTAGAAATAATCCTCAAATTATGCTACAATGTGACTGTTGATAATCATCATATTTTACTATAATGTATCTACTAATCTTTAAATGTTTTTACAATGTATCTGTTAACATTTTTCTATTTTGCTAGAAATTACCTACTAAAAATTATCTGTAAGATTAAGGTTTGTTCGAAACGCTATGTTTGCTAGTGGCTTTACAAGAATGTAAAAACATCAATGCTATGCACTCTTATAAATCCAATGTACCTTCTTGTATATAATTTATTTATAAATAAATAAATAAATAAATAAATAAATAAATAAGTTTCTTAACTCCTTGGTACCTATTTCCAGCTAGGTGAACAGAGACATCAGGTGAAAGGAAACGTGCCCAACCATTTCTATCCCATCTGGTTGTATGGTAAATGCAAGATCTTTTGAGATCTTAACATCTCAAGAAGTCTTAAGCCTCTACCCTGTTTAACATATTAATGAATCGAATTGCATCTAAGAGATATTTCTATAGGAACATGCAAAGTGCTTTGGGAGGCACAGCATGTGATCAGGATTTAGCAATATACAATATATTCCTTAATGTTTTACTTGAAAATGTCATAAATATATAAAATTATAAATATATATTGTTATATATATGAAGTACTCTCAACAACTACACTTCCTTCTATTTATATGTCTATATACATATATCACAACCAAGTGTGAGTGAGTGGGTGAAGAACATTTATAAAATGTTCTTTCATCCGTTTATAAAATGTTCTTTGAGTACTTAGCTAATAAGTTTTGTTATTCAAACAAATGAGGCCATTTGGATTGAACAAACTTACAGTATGATATGATGAATAAAGATAATTATGATACAATGATTTAAGTCCTTAAGCTAGATGAGGAAGTATTGAATATACAACATGAGTGAGTCTTGACTAAGCAAGATGAAGAAGTTCGGCTGATGAGTAATGGCATGAATTATGGCTGGTATCCTGAGATATATGAAGACACGTCGACATGATCTAGACCGTGATTGGTCACGTCACGTCATGAAATGACAAAGTTCCTGACACGGAGGAACTTCCTGGCCTGGCGGGGGCCAATTGTTGTACTCCACGACAGGATAAAACTGCATTTTATCCTCAAATTATCTACCTTAAGTAGCCAGATAGACGATGTATTTGTTACTATAGTTTTCCTCCATATGTTAATGTGAGTGGACGTCGCTGTGGAGATACAGTAATGCCTCACACGCTCGTGTTGTACTGGGTAACGGTGCCGTTGTGACCGTTGTGGAGTGACGCCATGGAAACGGTAGAGTCCACCGGGTGGATAGGGTTGTCGATGCCTTCCAGAGCTGGCTTGTTAACGTCCGTGAACTGGCGATACTCCTGGCGAAGGATGGGGTCCTTGGGACACCACTCGGCAGTCGGCCTGAAGGTGGCGAGGACGGCTTCCCAGAGCGAGGCAGAGCTGTTGCGGCGGCGAAAGACCTCCACGAAGAAGAAGATGGGAACCATCAAGCACGCCAGGACGGCCAGGCAAATGCCGAAGGCTGGAGTAGAAAACATTCGGTTAAAACATTGTTTTAATCTAAAACAAATTATATGCAAATATGGTAACATAAGTATATTGAAACTGAAGTAGTAGTAGTAGTAGTAGTAGTCTATTAACCACCCATACGAGGCTATTCCTATCCACCTAAACTCATCTCCAAGATAATGTCTGTTTGAGGTTGGGGGTCAGACGCTAGGGGCTAGCCTCACCAAACTTTCCATGGCGATTTGTGATTCTATGGCGAGTGTTATAGGCTAGTTGGGGTCGACCCACATGTAGTTTTTTTTTTAATAGGATTGGCATCTATTGCGACAACTAACGAGTCCTATGAAGTCGGAAATGTCAATAATGTTGATTCAACATTACTCGAGTATGTTTTGCCCCTTAGGAGTAAGTGGGAGAGAGAGAGAGAGAGAGGAGAGAGAGAGAGAGAGAGAGAGAGAGAGAGAGAGAGAGAGAGAGAGAGAGAGAGAGAGAGAGAGAGAGAGAGAGAGAGAGAGAGAGAGAGAGAGAAGGAGGGAGACAAGCGGACAGAGACCCGGGCCTTGCTGGATACTCCCCTCTAATTCATATAAATCTCTAATCTACGCTCGAAACAATGTAAAAATAGTATTACCTAATCAATGGCAAACTATAAAGCAGTGGTCTCACCTATAATATCGGGAGTGAAGACGTAGGTGCCGGTTTTGAGCGGCTCGGCGATGATCTGACTGTAGATGAAGATGACAGAGAGGAGGACGGGGATGAGGAAGGCCCAGCAGAACTTCCAGTAGACGCCAGTCTTCTTGCCCAACATGAACTCGATGTCGCGACAGAAGTTGTTGACGCCGTACACCCAGTGGACGGCCGCGATCTCAAACACCACCAAGATGAAGATGATGAAACCCTGCAAAAACCAAGATATACCACCACTGTAAACTTTCCGGAAGCTTGGTTTGGTTTACGTCGTTTTGCCTTTTCTTAAATATGAGCCAAACGGGGAAATAGTTCCCATTCAATTAAATATTTTCTGATGAGATTAAAGATACAAATGAATAACAAATGCTAGTTATTTATCAAATTTTGAATATTAAACTGGCTCTGTTGGCTTAAAAGTCAGCTGATAAAAATGTAAACAAGATGAGGTAATTATGAGGAGAAAGCTGGTATGAGTATTTAGTTCTTGGAAGGGATATGAGGACATGATAGCAGCTGGGATATAAGGACAGGATAGCAGCTAGTATTGGGGAACAGAATGACGGATCTGTACCCAACCACTTGGACCAATGGGGATAATCGAACGCTGACCTGCAAGAAGCCAGGCCCCGTCGCTATACCGACCAATCCAAGTGAATGTAAACAAATAAAGTCAATATACTTACGCCTCCATAGTAGTTGATGAGCTCCAAGACGTATTGTCCCTGAGGAGTGACGTAGAAGAGACCGAGGAGGAAGCCAGCGATACACACCACCAACGTCACGATCCACTTCTTGAAGCGCGGGAACTCATCACAGATGATGGTGATGATGCAGCCGGTGAGGGCGGAGGCGCTGCCCACGCCCAGAGTGAAGAGCATGAGGAAGAACAGCACGGAGAACAGCTGAGGCACGTACTGGAACCTGGACAGCACGTCGGGGTAGCTGACGAAGGCCAGGGAGGTGCCGCCGCCCTTCACGACCTGATCCACGCTGACGCCGAGCAGTTTGGCCAGGTGGCCCAGGATGGCGAAGGTGGTGAAGCCGGCCAGGAGGGATGTGAGCGTGTCGGTGACGGAGATGATGGCAGCGTCGCGGTAGACGTTGTGACGGAAGGAGTTGTATGACGAGAACATTGTGATGGAGCCGAAGCCAACGGAGAGACTGAAGAATGACTGGTCCACAGCTGCGTACCACACCTGTTCAACACACACACACACACGCCATTTTACACATCTTCCACGATAATTGTGACATTTTCTGCATATTTATCATATCAACTATTATCCTAAGTATATATATACACATAAATATACACACAATGAGTGCATTTATTAACGCATAAGAAGCAAAATTAGATACAAAAACACTCATTATTACAGGAATTCTTGACCCCCCAAAAAGCAGGATATAGGTTGAAAGAATGCCTTACCCCAGGCTCCAGGAGCTTGCCCCATCGAGGCGAGATGAAGAACAGTACACCGTCCAGGGCCCCCTCCAGCGTGGCTCCACGGATCAGCATGATAAAGAGGACCACGTAGGGGAAGAGGGCGGTGAAGTAGGCGGCCTTACCGGCGCTCTGGACGCCCTTGGCCAGCACCACGAACAGCACTATCCAGGAGAAGAGGAGGCACAGGGTGAGCTTCCACTCGGGGGCGTCCAGACCGTTGGCCAGGCCGTTAGGATCCTTCTGCAGCACCTCATTCCTGTTGATGTCAAACAAAATTAATTGAAAAAAGATTTCTACAATGTGAAAAGAAAAAAAACTAAATTTCTTCAAGATTCGCGTATTTGTTATTCGTTTATTTCGTCAGATTCGCGCATAGTTAAATAAGCATTATCTTGAAAAAAAATTATTTTTTCTTCAAAATTCGCGTATTATACATTGTTAAATAAGCATCATCTTGAAAAAAATATATTTTTCCTTCCAAGATTCGCGTATTATACATTGTTAAATAATCATCATATAATTTGGATCTAATGGTCTGTTACTGTTTGCACACCATAACCCTCTATATGGTATTAATACTCACGAGAAATATTCCTCAGCCGCGGAGGTGAGACTGGTAACATTGATGCCTAACGAGGTAGCCAGCTCCGTGCCATTACGAAAAGCGTCAAGGCAGGTTTGGGGAGCGTTCTCGCTACACACAGACCAGGGCAGCTCGCTGGTGAAGGAGGCGAAGAAGTAATAGACGGTGAGGCCCATGAGGGAGACGTAGTAGGTCACCACTGCCCACGTCGCTATGGCTTGGCCGTAACCCACACCTTGCGAGAGACGCAGAAGATTCTCGTGTTAACTCATGAAGCGTGTGGACCTATATCAAGAGTTCTGGCAAACATGTTTGACCTATATACAACTTACACGGCTGAAAGACTCACCTCGGAAAGCTGGGGACACCTCCCACACCTTGACGGAGCCGGCGGAGGCGAACTGCCCCATGCACAGTTCCATATAGTAGAGAGGCTTGCCGATGAACATAAGCACAAGAATGTATGGAATGAGGAAAGCTCCACCTCCGTTTTCCAGCGCCACGAATGGAAATCTCCACACATTGCCGAGCCCCACAGACATGGCGATGCACGACAGGAGAAACTCGACCGGGCTGGACCATTGTTCACGGCCTTGTTCACCAGCCTGCTGAACAATGTTAGGTTCGCTGTTAATACGTTGTTTTATAACCATATTTGAAACATATACATCTCACTGAATTATTCAAAATAACATCAGTAACCAAATAGAAATATATAACCAAAAATATACTCAATTTTACCAAATAATCAATATGCATGCTAGCGGCTTTCCGTAAATGTAATTTCGATATTAATATTGCTATATACATCTATCAGTTGATATATACATCTATCAATTGCTATTAAATTCAGATTTAGAAAGAATATGGGGAAATATTGGTTTGTTATGGTGGTAAACTAGTGGAATAGGTTGCCGGATAAAATCTTACAAGCAAATAAAATAGAAAGCTTTAAAAATAAGGGATGTATCTATAACACAGGAAACTGCACAAGTCCCACTGGATTATTCCCCTGAACACCCGACCACATTGGTATTCGTCAATGTTGTCGACTCACAATCAGAGCTCCCGGGTTCGATCCCCAGGCGTGACGGAAATGGTTGGGCACGTTCCCTTTCACTTAATACTTCTATATTCAGTTAGGAATATATATATATATATATATATATATATATATATATATATATATATATATATATATATATATATATATATATATATATATATATATATAATGCGGTCATATTCAATGAAACATGTTTCATTGAATATGACCGCATATTCTGTATTTATTATTTTCTGGTTTAGGGCTTCTATCCCTCTAACTATTTTCTTAGCCTTAACTATTTCCAATTAAGCCCTGATGCTAAGAAAATAGTTAGAGGGATAGAAGCCCTAAACCAGAAAATAATAAATACAGAATATGCGGTCATATTCAATGAAACATATATATATATATATATATATATATATATATATATATATATATTATTAAATATGACCGAAAAAGTAAGATTAATAATTCTAACACGAATTTTCTCAATCTTTCGTACATTACGCTTCACTGTTGGAGGTAAATCAAAATCACTTCTCCATATAAATATATATATATATATATATATATATATATATATATATATATATATATATATATATATATATATATATATATATATATATATATATATATATATATATTTATAAGCCCATCCAGGCTTGCTGTCCCCGATTCAATTATTTAAAGTTTATTTTTACTCAACCCATGTTTGAAACTCTTCGGCGAAACTGCCTATTTTATTGTACTTAACAAACACTTTCATAAAATCACTCTTCTCTCTTCCAACTTCCTTTCTAAATCAATAAATCAAAACTCTCAATCAAAACTCTAGTGGGCCAAGAGACCCGCTGAGGAAACTCCTAAGCGTGTTCTTAAGAGAGTTAGTGTTCAGAGCGTTATATAGAACACTCCGTTTGGACTGGAATCCCGTTAGGGTGGCTGTGGGTGACTGGGGGGGTGAACTAACCTGTTCAACAGTCACCTCCACTGTGGGTTCCTTCTGCCTCACATCGTCGCCGCCGTCAAACGCAGGGTTGATGTTCCCCTGCAAGATTAAACGCGTGTGAAGTTACAGTTATTTGTTGCTGAATGTAATTATTCAACATCAATTTTTGTTCAAGCTATGATTAAATTGATGCAGTAGTCAGTTAGTTGTTGGTCCGTACGCCGTCTGTGTTGGTATAATTAACGTTTAGTGTGATTTTGATCAGTATCTATTGGATTTTTTAAACGTTCTTAAAACTTTCATGGTTATTTATAAGCATATCAAGACACACTTTCAAGTAATTTGAGTCTTAAGCATATCGATGGCAATGGTGCATGACAAGAATGTTGCCATTTCAACAATGAAAATACAATCAGCAACAGTGAAAGTGAATAATCAACTGCTGTTGATTGTACATATCTCCAACGAAACGTAGAATAAATAAAAGCAGCCCACCACAGGGTACATAAAAATGGAATCCACAAAAGGAAGGTGGATACAGGGTACACAAAAGGAATCCGGATGCAGAACGACCCTGAAGGATTTTCTCTTTTTAAAGGTTCACACCACACAACACAGTGTTCGTACACAGGGCGCAACATTGACTACTTACATTCTTGAAAAATAAATCCTGTACACTGAGAGTAATCAGACACAGATGCGATATAACTTTCAAAAAGCGATTTCAAAAATCACTCCACAGTAATAGCTCACTAAGCAAATTCAACAATACACATACCTCGCCTTTCCAGAATATTGCTTTGGATACAACATTTTGTAACTGAGATTTCATGATGTATGTGCTTTTCCAGAGCGCTGTAGTATAAATGTATATAAATCCTTTGTCTTAAAGCAACACTTTCACCTTGTGCTTGTCACCACACCAGGGAGACGGTCACAATGCTACTCACACCAGCGCCTCCACTGTATATAACCTCTCCTCGTCTGGAAGCGGAAACAGTTGCCAGTTCTACCTTACCTATCTCCTTACTTGAATCTTCAGTGAACATAATATTCATCTAGTGGGCTGTTGTACTTTTATATAATGTTGCCGGGAAATTCGACTGGTAGAATATTGTGAAGGCACTGTTAAAATGATGATAATGATAATAAACTAAATCTAATGGCAACAATGGTTCCAGGAGGCAGTGTACCTGGGCTGCCTACTACTACCCTGGGCTGACGTCACTCATTCAGAGCGGTGGACGGGGGATTTCCCAGGATATCACTAAATATCCGTACCCTAATCTCGTCTCCCTCGGCTCACACTTGCCTCTCAGTTATTTGATCACTTTCTATATATAATATCCAGTTAAGGCTCTTGCAAGCCTATATATATATATATATATATATATATATATATATATATATATATATATATATATATATATATATATATATATATATATATATATATATATATATATATATATATATATATATATATATATATATACCCCTATATATGAGGTAGGATAAACACGTGATGTATCATTATTCCGGAAGCCTTTGGCACCATAAGGAATGATCAGAGCGGTGAGTGGAGACAAAAAGGTGCCAACTAGTTACAATTAAGTCATTCCGGGAAGACACCATTCCTAGCCTCTGGCCCTCGGTAAACACGTCAATTCTACAAAATATATATGACCATCATCTTCAGGTAATTCATACCTGTTTCCCCCCTCGGAAGTACACAGGAAAGAAATAAGATGTTGTAACTACACATCCACACTTATGTTTAGTTAGATAAATAACAAGTACAGTTTCCGGAGTGATTTTGCTGTTTGTTTCGTAGTTTGCCCACTTTCCTTGCTGCATATGCAGCATAATTGGTCAGCTGATATTCGCCAAAGGTTTCCTCGTGTCTCGCCCCAGGACTCAGGCTCCAGAACCCCCACACACTACCCAAGGGAGGTATGGTATGAGGAAACATTTGGCCAAGTGGGAAAAGTATTGTCTGATCCCCAGGACTTAAAGATGAGACGAACAACTGCAGAAGGTCTATTGGCCCCCCCGTGTTCCCGGGAAAGTGCCTGTAAGCTGAATTTCTTGTGGCTACTTCCTAGGAGATAACACGAACTAACTTCCTACGGCATACGTTTGAGTAAATTACGAAGTTACACCAACGTTCAGTACTTTCCTGTTAAGAGCTTCCCCTCAGGCTCAGTATCTGCGTCACTCGTCACAAGGTATCCCATTGTCGTGAGACGGACCGGAAGTATCTTTAGTTTGTCGGCGTCCCTCTTTAGTCTAAGTCAACGGCTGACCTTAGATAGAATGCAACCCACGAGAATTACCAAGTTCCCTGGTACCTCTTTACTGCTTCGTCCTCTTCACATAATTGTTGCTGTGATTCTGTTGAGTGTTACTGAGCCTTCCATTTGTGTTGTACTAAAATTGTTCACGCTAAATACACCGTAATTTGATATTACGTAATTTGATCGTAATATCAGACGCAGAGTAAACATTTCGATGTTGTCAGTGAAAATAAAAGAAAGTACATTTTTGCAGGCTGGTATGCGTATGTCAAGTGGATTGCCAAGGTGCGTATGCGTTTGTTATCGACATTTAACAGCTGTTATTATATTTATTATATTTATATATATTCGACATTTATTATATTCGTTTTAATTGAACAGGAATTCCTCCATCAATTTATTTAACATAACTTAATTTTTAAAATGGTTACATATATTAGAGCTGGTTACCCAAGTTTGGTGTTAAATTTCTGTAAATTTCTCACATTAGATAATGAATTGCTGTGATGCGGAGCGTTGCTCTTCGGGCTCTATTTCCGAGTCTGTCACTGCCTGCTCTTCAACGGTACTCATGATCAAGGGTACAGACAAGATATATTTTTGTCACAAATTGCAAAATTCTAATGTCGAAGAAGGTGATTCAGCGATAGTTGATGTGGCTGGGGGCAGCAAGGATTGAAATCTGGTATATATATATATATATATATATATATATATATATATATATATATATATATGCGAACAAGCCTGAATGGTCCCCAGGACAATATTCAACTGAAAACTCTCATATATATATATATATATATATATATATATATATATATATATATATATATATATATATATATATATATATATATATATATATATATATATATATATATATATATATATTTCTTTTTTTCCTAGTGGTGATTCAGGTCAATTTTGTATTCATCTTATGTAATTATTCCTCTCTGTATTCTAATTACTCCACTGATCAGATGTTAGAGCCTGCTGCTGGTAGAGTCTCGCTCCCCTTAGCTGTCAATGTACTTAAGACAGGGGACCTGTCAAGCCTCTTCAATCCTCCGGAGGCCCGGGACAGGTAGTTGAAGGAGGAAGATAGTAGTAGCATCTCATAGTAGCATTTGGAGTCCGGTAGACTCAAAACCGGGACGATTTCCGTTCTCGAGCGAAGACTGGAAGATATTTTACATTAGTAATGGAAATGTCTTCTGTGTGTATATGTGAAATTTATGTAAGGAATTTACGCCAAGTCTTTCGCACTCAACTGAGTGCGTTATCAAGGTCTGAGTGTGTGATTAGGACGAGACTTACATCTCAATGTCTAATGAGGCTGCTATCCTGTTGTTGTTGTTTTAGATTTAGCTACTCTAAGCAAAAAGTTCCAAGTAGTATGGCTGGGACACTTGACAAGCCGCCGGCTTCCTGCTTCTGTCGAGACCACTAGAGAGATAGTGGCCCCTCAGGTAAATTTAGGGTAGGATAGGTTTCCTTATGTTACATTATTTTCAGTTAGGTCTAGTTTGGTTAGGATAGTTAATGCAGTTAAAAATGTCAAGCAATATACAGCTTTCTTGGCGTACACACAAATGTTTTTGCTTCGCTTTTGGGGTGAACATTTATGTAAGTCACAACTCTACGTGGCCTGTAGCCACACATTCAGCATCCCAATGATCCATAGCCGCATAGTTCAGCGTCCAATGGGCCTGGAGTAACATAATTCAGCGTCTCATGATTCTTTAGCCACATATGAAGCATACAGTGGGGCCTTAACCTTGCCAAATTGAGTGGTTCGAACATAAAACATAATATTCGCCGGTGTGAAAGTTAGTTCCAGTCAACCAGCTCACGTAAACATCGACAAGAAGGCCAGCGGTGCTTGACCCCGCAGTGCCCCTGTAGAAGCTCCTGAGGCTGTGAAAATACCCAAGACTCCCAGGTCCGCCCCTTATCTGTGTTTACAAGCACCCTTCTCGACGCTGGCATAATCCCAGAGACGCTGGCATAATCCCAGTGACGCTGGCATAATCCCAGTGACGTTGACATAATCCCAGTGACGCTGACATAATCCCAGTGAGACTGGTATAATCCCAGTGACGCTGGCATAATCCCAGTGACGCTGGCATAATCCCAGTGACGCTAACATAATCCCAGTGACGCTGGCATAATCCCAGTGACGCTGGCATAATCCCAGTGACGCTGACATAATCCCAGTGATACTGGTATAATCCCTGTGACGCTGGCATAATCCCAGTGACGCTGGCATAATCCCAGTGACGCTGGCATAATCCCAGTGACGCTGACATAATCCCAGTGAGACTGGTATAATCCCTGTGACGCTGGCATAATCCCAGTGACGCTGGCATAATCCCTGTGACGCTGGCATAATCCCAGTGAGACTGGTATAATCCCAGTGACGCTGGCATAATCCCAGTGACGCTGACATAATCCCAGTGAGACTGGTATAATCCCTGTGACGCTGGCATAATCCCTGTGACGCTGGCATAATCCCTGTGACGCTGACATAATCCCAGTGACGCTGGCATAATCCCTGTGACGCTGACATAATCCCAGTGAGACTGGTATAATCCCTGTGACGCTGACATAATCCCAGTGACGCTGGCATAATCCCTGTGACGCTGACATAATCCCAGTGAGACTGGTATAATCCCTGTGACGCTGACATAATCCCAGTGACGCTGGCATAATCCCTGTGACGCTGACATAATCCCAGTGACGCTGACATAATCCCTGTGACGCTGACATAATCCCAGTGAGACTGGTATAATCCCAGTGACGCTGACATAATCCCAGTGAGACTGGTATAATCCCTGTGACGCTGGCATAATCCCAGTGACGCTGGCATAATCCCTGTGACGCTGGCATAATCCCAGTGACGCTGGCATAATCCCTGTGACGCTGGCATAATCCCAGTGACGCTGGCATAATCCCTGTGACGCTGGCATAATCGCAGTGAGACTGGTATAATCCTTGTGACACCTGAATAACGCTTGTGAATAATAGATCTCTCTATACAATGTATTTGTCTTACCAAACTAGTTGATAGCTTCCATAACAGCAAATCGCTGTTATGGAACTAATAGGATTTGGCTGTTATGGAACAAACAGAAGGGGGGATTAACCGGTGGTGCTTGGGAGAGTGTCATAATTGTCCTCTCTTTCCCTCTGACACCTCGTCTTGGATAGTCTAGGATGGTTGGCTATATTCTGAGGATTGTCTTGAGTCGTTTATCCACTTTCTTCTGTTGCAAGGTCTTTAACTTCAGGGGTTGTCATCACTGACGAGAATGCACCGTCATGCAGTAGAAAGAGTTCTACACACACTTTTGGAGTTCAAAGAGCTTCCAAGAATTTATATCTCCTCTCCAAGATCCTCGACATCATTTCCCAGAAAGAATTTGACAAAAGTGTACAAGATTCTAAACATTGGAATGTAGATGTTTATACTGATAATTAAATCTAACGACTTTCTGCGGCATTTCTAATTTGCAATAGAATATTAGTTAATTTATGAATACATTTTGTCTATGCATGTTAAAATAAATTGTGTTGAAAGGGCAACTTTGATTACGTTAAGTCTGCCGAATTTTAAATGGGTGATCCTAAAGTGAGCTACAGTTGCACCACCTT